AATTTTATCATACTATACTAATCTATTTTCAAAACTTCTTTTTTTCTTTTTTGTTTCAATATTTTTTAATTTTTTGAGCTACACAATTTTATATTCATTTTTTTTTTCTCGTTTTTTTAGTCAGAAATGAAAAAAAAAAAAGAAAAGTGTAACCTCTGTTATGAACCATTTAATATAATTATCATTCTTTTGTGATTTATTTCCTTTGCTTTCATTTGATTCCATATTTAGTGAAATTATGGATGCTTCACTTAATAAAACTGTTTTTTTCAATGCTTCAATCTTTTCATGTCTTTTTGCAAAATCATTCTGTTTCGTGGCATCACTGTTCGTTGATTGTATATCAGCTATAAAACATTTTAAAAAAAATATTTTAATTTTTAATAAATTGTTAAAGAAAGTTTTTTTTTCCCTAAAAATTATTAATCAATTATAACCTGTTGTATTTCGTAAGCAAAATAAAACTTTGTTTGGTTGAATTAATGCTATTTGAGTAATTTGTTCAGCAGCAGATGGGAAAAGATTTTTTGATACTTCCGATTTTTCTTGCTCATTATTATCATCTTGTGATATCTGAAAACAAAAAAAAAAAGCAATTTTATTTACTGATTTCATCTTTTTCATAAAAAAAAAAAATCAATCATTTAATTATTCACTTGATAACAGTAAACAATTGCTATTTCTATTACTTTCGTTTCTTTTTTTTTTCTTTTAATTTAGAAAGTTTTCAAACAGATGTTTGAAAATGAATTAAACAAAAATGTAAAAAAAAAAAAAAAAAAAAAACCATCTCAGCAGCTTGTTGTAAAATAGATGCGAGCTTATTTCGATCAGATAAATTAATGGGCTCATCCAGAAGTTTATAATCTGTTGATTCTATTTCTTCACATTGTTTGTAATACCGATAAAATAATTCAATTTCTAGAAAAAGAACTGTCTATTACTTTTTCTTTTTTGTTCAATTTAAGCTATAATATAAACATTTAAATTATATTATTAGTTTGCAGCAAATCATTCGAATTATCTAAATTTGCATATATGTTTTTTTTTTCCACGAATTCAAAATGTATAATTACAAATATTTGAAATTATAAAATTCAAATTGCGCCTGAAACATACCATCACTTGTTTCTGAAAATGCTGCTTGAATTATTTGAAATTTTTCGACTGGAATTTTTTTCGGTAAAATGCATTTTCCATATTGATCACCCAGGAAACACTAAAAATCGAAATGATTGAATACATTATTTAAATATTTCAAAAATTTTTAATTCCACATTAAAGAGAGAAAAAAATTAAAACATTTCTGACACAATTTTTTTTTTTCACATATTTAACATGAAAGATTTTAATACAAACCATAAGATATGATGTACAATTGGAAAAGACATTAAGCATAGCTTCAAATGTTTCAATATCTAAATTATCAGTAATTGGTTCCACAAATTCAACATCAATACCAAGTTGAAACGCATAATGCTGTATATTTATAGCCACATCTTTCACTAATGCTCGATATTCTCGTTCAAATTCTGTTAAAAATAAGAAAAAAAGTTTGAAACAAAAAAGCAAATTTAAATCATTTAGTATAATTTGAAAAGTTATCAATGCTAATTATTTAGAAACAAAAAAGTTTTAATCGTAAATTTAGTAGCGAATCATTTAATTAAATTATTCATTTATAATAATATAACATTTATTTTGTAATAATACTTTAATTATTATCAAACAAACATTAATTTCATCCATATAAGTTAATCATTTCTATGATATATTAATAATTGTTAATTTTAATTAAATATCTATGAAAATATTTATGACTTTTGTGATTTAATCTTTTTTTTTTAAAATTTTTATATAAATTGTGTCAAAATTATACATAAATTATCGGATAAAAAAAAAAAACGAAATGAAAATTTACAGAATATACCTTTTAAAGAAGGAAAAAAAAATATAATACGAGCTTGTTGTAATGTTTTTGCAGAATATTTCGATTCTTGTAATTGTTTATCATTATTATCAGTTTTCGGGTGCACATATGTCGCACCGGATTTAGCATTGAGACGAAACATGGAAATTAGTGATAATTACGCCATATAATTCAACTAATCTCGTGACCATAGCAACATTAATATCTGGAAAAGACAAAATAAAAAATGAAAAGAAAAACGGTAGCATTTTTTTTTTTCGTCCTGAATTTTAATTCGTTTAACTTTTCAATATGTTAAATATATTATGTGGCGTTGAAATGTTAAACAAACAAAAAATTCAATACCATTTTACCCAAAGTTTATTTATTATTAATTAAAAAAAGCTTTAAAAAAAATATTTGCATAGAAAACATTAGATAAATCATTAATATTTCCTCTTCGCTTATTAATAATTAAATGATTGGTAAATTTAAACAATTTTTCTAAATATTCTCATAAATACATTGAATAAATGTAAAATTATTTTGTGAATTAATTTGTTTAATTCATTTGAATTAATGCAGAATTATTTATTTATTTCCCTTTTTCAATTATTTATTGAACTTTTTTTCCTTTTTTTTCACCACCATTTTTCTCAAAAAAATAAAAAATAGAAAAATAAAAAAGAAGGCCGAAGCAAGGCCTTCATAGACAGATTTTATTGTTGTTTTTCTCTTTTTTTTTTCTTTTCTTTTCTTTTTCCTTTTGTTTATTTGCTTGTTTTTTTTTTTTTTGAAAAAAATTGTAAAAACAAAATAGACGAGGCAAACACATAGCATTTTCATCAAATTTAACAAAAGACTAAAATAATTTTCTCTTTTTTTATTCAGAAAACGATTTGAGTGGATAACCAAACAAGCTTAACATTCAACGAAGCATTAAAACTTTATTGGCAGAAAATTTTTTTTTTAAATTATGGCTTAATTTTATAACTCAACTGAATAACAGTGACGTGTCATTGTTAAAAGTTGATTAAAAAAAAATTTTTTTTTTTTTTTTTAAATGTTATACCAATTAGTTGAAATGAAATAAAAAAGATGAGCAGTGAATGTAAATATTGTCCATTTAGCTTGGATTCTTAACATATGAAATTAATTTAGTTCCTAAGGTGCAACTTTTTTTTTTTTATTGCACTAAAACTTTTACAAATATATTATTTGCAAATAATTTTGCACTAGCAAGTTTTTGACCAAAAATTAAATTTAAAAATAAAACTTAAGTGAAAAAAAATTAATTCCAGTGGTTATTTTTAATAGCAAAAACAAGGATAAGATATTATCAAATAAAAGCTTCATTAATTTTAATTTGAAATGAAAAAAATTCTGCAAGTTTCTTTAATTCATTATCATTTTGAAATTAAATAACATCGAATATTTTAGCACCAAAATATTTAATCTAAAAACATTTATTTCCGAAATTTAGATAAATAATTATGTTACTAAGAATATAATTTTTTAATTTCCTTTTTTTCTCTATATTTATTTTTTCTTTTAAGACTTCGAAATTCCGATTTCAAATTTGAATAGCTATGAAAAGTTTCATAACTTTGTTAATTATCAATCCTTATAATTACTGATATTATTATTATCGCTATATCATCTATAACGATTAAAAAAGGGTTATTAATATCACTATAATGATTTCATTCCATGATTTAAATCTCCACTATTTCTTTCTTTAAATTTTGAAACCTTTTAAAAAGCATTTTTCAAAAAAATTTTTTTCTCAAAGACCTATGATAGTTGCAGCATTAGTTACAGCAAAATTATTCGATCATTTTTGCATCTTTTGATAAATCATTACTGAAATAGCAACCAATTTCATGTATTATGATATAAAATAACTATTAAATTAAATAATTAAATTATAATTTCTAAACTTCTATTCTTTTTTTTTCAAACTTTCTCTTCTATCGCTCAGCTAGAGGCAATAACTTATTACTGATTTATGACAGTCATTCGAAAATGATTGAAAATACAAAGATTTATTTATTAAATAATTTCACAAAACGTATTAAATTGAAGACAGATGACGAACGTTTCAGAGTTAAAAAAAATTCAACCTTAAAAAAATTTTTAAAATACTTTATTTAGCAATGAATTATGATTAAAACAAATATTAAATTAAATATTAAACCATTGCTGAATTTTATTCTATGCATACATATATAGTTCAAACCCTAAAATTTAGAAATTTATTTCTTGAGCTCAATAAAATCTAACGTTTAAAATAGAAATGAAACGAAACGACAATAATAAAAAATCAAGTATTGCTTTTAAAAAAAAAAAAATAAAATTCTTGTTTGTTGTCTGTTCGTTTATTTTCTATAATGTTTAAGTTAAATAATCCTCATATCATATTTAAAAATTTACATTTTTCTTCAACAAAAATAGATAATAGAAAAATTTTTAGCAATACTTCCATTTCTCTCTCTCTCTCTCTCTCTCTTTCTCTCTCCTCATTCTCCCTCTCTCTTTCTGTCTTTTATGATATATTAGTGGTATTAATTTTGATAGCATATCTTCTCACTATATAGCAATATAAATGCATGATATTTTTGTAAAAATAAGGCAAAATATTAAAAACTCGAAAAAAAAAAATACAACAAAAACAATAACAATAACAACAAAGACAATAGCAATAACAACAACAACAAAATAACACAACAATAACAATAATATTTGGGTTTAAAATTTTTGCTTTCAAATCCTCAGAAAAGCTATTTTTAATCATTGAAGGAACACGAAAGAAAAAATTGAAAAAACTTAGTTATAAGTTGCTTCATCCTTTCCTTCCTTTATTCATTTATTCCTTCCTTCCTTCCTTCATTCATTCCTTCCTTCCTTCCTTCCTTCCTTCCTTCCTTCCTTCCTTCCTTCGTTCCTTCCTTTTTCACTTCGTTCATTATTTTCCTCCACCTCCTCTCTCTATCATTACAATACATTTTAATGCTTGTGCTGTTCATTTAACAGTGTAATGAACTTCAAACAGCTGTCAACATTTTTACAGATTTCCTTCACAAACTTCAAAATGCTTAGCTGCCTTCTAGCTGCTTTTTATCAATTCGCACTATTCTTCTTCTATTTCTTCTATTTCCTTTTCAAGTAAGCTAAGTCATTTCTTTCCTTTTTTCCTCTTTCTTTTTTTAACCCACTTTTATCCCCCTCCTCTCTCCCCGCCATTTTCTCGCTCCTTTCTTCCTTTTCATTCATTCGACTTATGTGGAATTTTCAATTCCTTCTTTTTATTTTCCTTTCATTTTTTTTTTTTTTTGCTTTTCCAGTGCTAAATTACACTTAATGATTTTGCTAAAGGTTTAGCTAAATTTTACATGATATTACTCTTTGACATTTCTTACTGTATGATTAGTAATTATCATGTTAAAGTAAACAAAAATTAATTAGCATATTGTGGTAAATAACATGCTAATTAGCCGTTAATTTGCAGTTAGATATTGCAAGTTTGTAAAGTATTTTGATTGCACTGCTTATGAAAGAAGTTTCAAATCAAATTGTTTTTTTTTTTTTTAAAGATAGCAAAATATTTGCTCTCTATATTGATAATAACAATAATAAAAGTAATAATAGTACTGTATTATCATTATTTATTATTATTATTGTTAACTGATTATTAATTATTGTCAAATTATTATTATATATAGTTAATCAGGTTCATATATATTATTACCAGTTTAATTACTACCGTAAAATATTTTTTAATAAAATAATTTAAAAAAGCTGTCAATATCATCACAAAATGTAATAATTTAACTTAACTTAATAGGAAAAATTGACGCATCTCAAATGTTAAATAATATAATTGATATAGCATAAATTAAATTGAATGAAACAAAATGGATTGAATACATCTTAAAGTCGTACTAATATACTATATACCGTGTGATATATTTTCAATTAGCATTTACTATTAATTGAAAGAAAATTAGAAATTTAATAAACTTATAAAAAGGAGCATTAAACGATCTTTTCAGAAGTTAATAAAGTTAGTTTGTAGCAATTGAAAACAAAAAAATAAGGCAATTAGATATTTTATATCTTTCAGTTGAATTGTCCTTTTCCAGTTGGCTAGACAAATTGCATAAATGTAATAAATTTTCTTTCATAAATTATAATGGAAAAAAAAAAGGAAAAGGAAAAACAAATTACGTCTCATTCACGGATCAATCGTTTGAAAAAAAAAAAGTGTGTCTCTCACTTATTTTTCCATTGTGAAAAAAAAATTTTTTTTTTTTAATTATATTAGAGTGTTTTCAAATTTTCTTAGCCTTTTTTTTTCATAATTAAAAATGTATTACAAAAATTACTGAAGAAAATTTCAAAACAAAAATATATTTTTTAAAATTCCAAAACAATTTTTTTTTTTTAATTACTGTCAGTTTTAATTAAATAAGCATAAATACTATGGAAAAATAATATTATCGATTGTTAATTGAAATTTTCGATTAGTCGAAATTTCCCAATTATCTTTTTTTGCTTTTGACCTTATCATGAAGTAAAATTGATACTAATGCGCTGGAACATTGCAAAGGTCAATTTTCAAGACTTCAGGTGATCGATCATCTTAGAGCATATCATAGAAAGCAAAATAACAATAATGGGAAGATTTTCCATTTTTTTCTTTTCCTTTTGAACAAAACTATCAGAATACAAAATGGTGAAAAAAAAAAAACACTAATTTGAAAAAAAACAAATAAAAACTTGCTAAATGACTATTTTTAAATATAGTTTAAAGTGTGAAGAAGTTATATAGATTAATTATTAAATGATTTTTAATTTTGCAAAATTATTTTAATTTGAATTAGTTATTTTCTTAGGAAAAGAAAAGAAATATATAATTCTATAATTATGTTATAGAGGAAAACCGGAATGGCAGAAAATAGGACAAACTGAACGTTGTACAACGAACAATTGCTGCTTGCACAATCCGAAAGTGCAAACGGATGCATCCATTAGTTCGAAGCCAACTGAAAATATGCAAACCACTAATGAACAACAGACTAATTTTATCAAAACAGGAGTTAGTTGGAGAGAAAATAAACAAACAACAACAACAACAACAACAACGTCAAAATTTCAAAATTTTCAAAAAATGAATTCATATCAACAGCTAAGCGAACAATATGCCAATAAAATGGCACGAACGTTTCAAAATTTATACAGCGCTTTTTACTGTTTCCTGAAATATATTGGTACTATTGTAGTGCATTTCATCATATGGCTTTATTCGATTATTTACGAATGGCTTATTAGCTCAGGAAGTTCGACAATAATTTCTGGAACTTCAACAGGAAACATTCCAAATCAGATACAAATACAAAAAACGACTATTGAAAAAGTTCAAGAAAATTTACAACAACAAAATGAGCAGCAACAACAACAACATTCTTCCGCAACGGGTACTTTTATTAAATTTTGTCATATTTCATTCCAAATTTTAAATTACGTTCTTCAAAATTTTTTTTATTAGAATCCAAAAAAAAAAAAAACGTAAATTAAAAAAGATATCTTTTCTGTAAATTTCAATGAGAATATTTATTGTGAAATAGAAATGGAAGAAAAAAAAAATTCAGATTTCTTAAAAATTTTAAATGATTTATGTAAAATTTCGAATTTTTGATAGGAAAAAAAAGAAGGAAGGTGTTTCTGTATAACTTTCAAAAGATTTTAACTTTTTAAACGATACAATAGTTGTAAAGTTTTAATTCAAGATTGCTTTTTCAAGAAATTTTTTTCTCGGAAAGAAGTGAAAAATTTTTATTTTTCAGATGCTAACATAACTTTCCAGAGATGGCCATCGGTTGACCAATCAGTTATTCAACCGGTAGAATTTTATTCTAGGAAGCAAATTTATACAAGTGATTTTAACTGGCCTACTTTAGAAGATTCAAATGTTGCTGTTACAACACTATCATCACCACCACCACCACCACCACCACCATCAACGCCTTCTATTTCTCTTCCGTTACCAATTTTTAAAACAGAAACATCAACAACAAGTACAAAAAATGGCGAAAAAGTTTGTCCTTCATCACTACAATATTATCATACCACATTATCATCACTTTTATCTTAAGTATTTGAATAATATCAGTTTAGACAATTTAACAAAGCATAGAAAAATATGTTTAAGTCGAAGATATAGCTTTAAACATTACTCAAAACTTTTCCAATTATGGATTGAAGTGTTACATTATTTAATCTGAAAATTATAAGTTAGCGAGAGGATAATAATGATCAAACACTATTAAAGTATGATACAACAGTGCTACAGAAGTTTTAACAAGGTTAAAAATTTACAAAATTCTATCCCCAGCATAAGGTCAAACTATTCAGATTACATTATGATCAATCGGTTTTTTATATCGTAAAAACTCCAATTATTTGAGAGTAGAGAATGTGATAAGAAATATGTTCTATGCAAAATAATCTTTAGACTTTAAATTTTTGTTTCCAATCTTATCTTTAGGCTGTAAAGTTTCCATAATTAAGCAGAATGATTTAATTGTTTGGTTCATAAATTTGAATACCTCTACTAAACTGATTTTACGATGATTGAAAGTTATTTTTTTTTAATTTTAAAAATTTTTATAAATTTTTTAGGATATATGGTTACAAATATTAAATTGCACATTATTAAATCTATAACAAATCACTTAGCAAAAAAAGTTACAGGTACCACCAAAAGGTGGTGTTGCTGTTTTACCACTCGATATTATGGCTGAAGCTCATGCTCGAGTTAAAGAACGTGAGCAAAAATTAATTGAACAAAAAGCTGAATCACATGAGGTACGCTTATGCGTATTAAATTTACGCATTTCTTTGAAAAAAAAAAAGTGATTCCGATGAAATTAAAGCCTTAAACAAAAAATGAAATTCATCTTAAATTACGCCCAAAATCTAATTCATCTCATTTCAACTTCCTTTTTTTTTTTCCTTTTAATTAATTGAATCCAAATTTCTTATTCTTTTATTACTCATATTATGGACAAATTTTTAAAATTGAATAATAACAATTTATTATCACTTATAATTTCAAGAAAGATGATCATTTGTTAAGGAATTATCACATATAATGAATGTGTCTCTAGAATAATGAAATGAATAACGATTGGACAGTGACAAGTAGGAAGTTTATACCTGCTCAATGGAAAATGCCAGTAATGAAAGTTGACGAGAAATCAATGATCGAAAATAAAGAAAGTGAAGATGGTGAAATAATAAGATCAACAAGGAGGAACATTGTTTCAAGGATAAGTCGACCAACCGATCAGGATGCTCAATTTATCTTTCGTGCACCAACACATCAAAATGTTACGTACGTGTTAGTTTATTATTGATAAATTTCGAGTACATAACTTCATACTATGAAAAAATTTCAAAATAATATAAATTGTAAGGTAAATAATTATTTAATATGGCTTTATTATAGGAATTTTAGATCAAATCGATTAACAGATGGTAATTTTTTGATGGGTCGAAGTGTTTTTTCACCAATACGTGAAGCGGAAGAAATGCGTGATAGAGTAAATCGACGAATGACAGAGACTCCTTCAGAAAGTTTTTTTAGCTCACGCTTAAATACACCTCTGGATGATTTTTCTATGACGTCACGTATAAATACGCCATTTGAAGTAGCACTAGATTCACAAATGGATTCTTCTTCACGTTATCCAGCGAGTCGTTCACGTTCACAATCTCGAATTCATACTGTCATCTCACCTCCACCTACCAACCAAATGCATTCTCCAAGGTAATTGTACAATTAATTATTAAAGGTATTTATGTAACAAAAAAAAAAAAGAGAGAGAGAGAAGAGAAAAAACGAATTTAAATTACCTTTGTGTTTATTTCAGATGTGTCAATAAGTTCATTAAGCTTTGAAAAGTTTCCAAGATAGTATTTTTAAATTCCGTTATTTCTAATATTTCATTAATATAATTTTTGCTATATTTCTGCAACATATTTCGTTCAAAGTATAAATATTTTTAGCTATTCACTTTCACAACATCCTTAGCCGGCCTAAAAGTAAAAACATTTTACTAAGTTTACTTAATTAAAAAAAAAAAAAAAAACATCCCAGTAATTGAATGTGGATTTATGTCTTGAAATATGCTAATTCAATTTTAAATCTTATTATTTGTACTTCTCCATAAATTCTATAGAAAAGATGAAACTGGAATAAATATGCTGAGACAGCGTTCCAGAACCGTGGAACCCCGATTAGCAGAAGGTACCGTAAAAACTCTTACCAGGTAAACATTTTATTTTTTGATGAATTATTGAAAAATTATACACTGATAATGACGTAAATTTTATTGTTGAAAAAAAAAAGCTTATTTGAATGTGTTAAAAAAGGTACTGAAGTTATTTAAGTAAATTGAAATATAATTTGGAATATATTCTTAATAAAATACTTGAAGATTTTCCTCTTATTTCTAAATTAACGAAAGATTAGTAAAATATGAAATAAAATATAAGGATTCAAATTAAAATAAAACAATTTTGATAAAACAAAAAAGCTGTCACTGCTATTAAATTTTTTTTCAAAAAGAAATAAAGTTATATAATCAAAAAAATAAAATGCTGTAAAAGATTTTAAATACCTGTCTTGTCGTCTGTAGAAAAAAGAAAATTAAAATATTGGAAATTTGAATTTAAAAAAAAAAACGGAAGTATTACATAAATGCAAATGTCAATTTATAAACAATTTAGACTCATATTAAAGTTGAAATTTTCAGCAATGAAACTGAAATTGATTTTCGATAATATAAAAGAGGAATTTTTGTTTCTTCCAAAAAGAAGGAAAAAATAATTTTTTGTTGATATCATAAGTTTAAATTAAAAATTTCATATTTGCTTATATATGCTATCGTAATGGCTCATAGACACGTCAGGCTTATCAAGGATAAGAAAATAATGACTAGCCTTTTGCTTTTTTTTTTTGTGTTTCCGTATGAATTTGTGGTTTTAAGAAGAGGAAAAAAAGTTACGATTCAAAAATTCAATTAAAATTTCTTTTCATTTCATTAAATCGAAGAGAAAAAAAAAGACTGAAAAATTTGTACATTTACGTAAGAATTTCTTTAAATTGTCAATTTAATATTTTTTAAAAAAAAAAAGTTTTTTTTTCCTTTTCGTTATTCAAAAAAAAAAAAAAAAATTGAAGTGCTAATGTTTTTGGCTATAGAAATATTAAGCTTAGCAACTTTTATAAAATTTTAATTTAGAATAAATTAGTGAGAAGTGGTTAATTTTAGACAATGGCCACCTGAAAGTAATGCAAGTGGTGTATTTGTAGCTAAAGATAATTGGAATATTATTCCAACTGAAATCGTTTCATGTCGCAGTAAGTATTTTCTTAAAACATATTTTACATTATCATTCTATTGTCAAATATTTTGCATTTGCTATAATTTTCAAATCAACAAAAGTGAAAAAATTTCTGATAAAATAAGCGGAAAAAAAAAGCAAGCAAACTAATGTTTAAAATTATGACATTTTACAGTAAAATAGTTGACATTTAAAAATTTTCTCATCAGACATTAATTTTTAATTTGATTTATACATTCAAAAAAAAAAAGAAGAAAACAAGAAAAATCTTATTTTTAAACTTTTTTTGAATATTTCACTAATGGTAATTGATAAAATTAATTAAAATATTAATTGAATTAATAGAATTATAGTAAAATTATTGATTGCTGAAAAATTTTTTATATTCAAAATTGTGTCGAGGAGCATTTTTCCAAAAATATATTAGCTATATGTTATTTATACGAGGATGAAGACTGAAAGTAAATTGTATCTTTGTATCTAAAAAAAAAAAAAAAAAAACAAATATTTTTAAATTAATAACTAAATTAACACAAACCTAATTTTATAACTTCATCCATTTCTTTATCTTTTTTTTAATTAAATATAAATTGAATTGATAATTTCATACATCTTTTCATTTTTGCTCTTTTTCAATTATTGAATTATATGTTTTATCATTTCTAAGAAAATCGAAAATGAATATTTTAAGCGTATTTTTAACATTTTTTTTTCTCACTGATAAATTTCTCTTTAGTTTGATCAATGAAATATTCAAGATGTTCTCACTTTCATCTATTTCTTTTATTTTACTTTTCACTTCCACTTATTCCAGCTACGAAGAGTAAGCTAACATTTTCAGGAAAAAAAAGCTTTCTTTTCTTTTGCTCGAATTGCTTTAGAAAAAAAAAAATTTACATCTACATCACTACTTATTGATAAATTTTTCTATGAACATAAACACACACGCATACGTACACACACACACGCACACGTATACGTATACGTGTGCGTGTGTGTGTTTCTAAATATTTAATAAATTTTTTAACAAAATATTTAATTAATATTCTGAATCAACTATTACAAACTAATATAATTGTTGACGTCATAAAATGAAATGTAAGAAGATTAGAAAAAAAAAAAACTTTTTTCCACATTCTTTCTTTTTTCGTCTCATTTCTATTTTCATATAATTTTAGTAAATTCATTTAAATTATTTAAAGTAACTGAATAAACGAAATATAATGCAATATTCCAAAAAAGTGTTTCAATGCATTCAATGAGGAAAAAAAGTGCAAAAAAAAAGTGTAAAATTCACAAATATTGAAATAATAATCTTTTGTTAATAATACTTGCAATTTTCATACATTTATTTTTTTAAATTATTATAAAAGTGAGAAACTGTGTTGCAGTAAATTATTTAGAATAATGTAAAATGGAGAATTGATTTATTTTAAAATATTTGTTAGCAATAAAATAGTATAACTTTCTTTTTTTTTACTCTAGTTAATTAATTATATGTTTGATCCATTTTTTTTTAAAAAAAATAATACCACTAATCCTTTTTTAATTCTTTTTTTTCTCCTTAAAAAAAAAGATAAATAAAATTATGCAACAAGTGTATTCATTTATTCTTCCTTGTTTGCTTTTCTTTTTATTTTTTACAACCAAATAATTCATTATTTGCTGATAGCATGCATAGCTGTAATTAGTGTATGCTTATAGTTGAAGATAAATGATGAAAGATAATAAATTAAAATCTATTGTTAATGATACTGTTATGCTAATAATATAAATGAAATTAATCGTTATAAAATATAAAATGCTACTGATTAGTATATTAATTGAATTAATACTAATTAATTAGAGTATTAATGGATAAATATTGTATTGAAGATTAATAATTAAAATATCGACAATAGTTCTTTTTTTTTTTTTAATTCCTTTAATTAAAATGAAACAATATGATTAAAGATATTAAAAAAAGAAAAAATTCTTTTTTTAAAATCTTATCACTTACTTTATTGTTTAAGATTTTAATAGGATTTTCTTTTTTTTCTTTTTCTTTCTTTTAAATCTAACAATAACAATAGAAATAAATGTAAAAGTAGACAATAGGATGAAGTAAAACAAACAGAAAATAGAGAAGGAAGAAAAAAAATTAGGAATAACACTACATGTTTCCGTTATGATTTATCGGATTAACTATTTTAAGATTTAATAGAGAGTATGATAGAAAGGAAACCCTAAGCTAAGAATCAATTAAGTAATTCATTTCGCCCACTTCCGCTTATTACTGCTGTCGTTACCATCGTTACCGATGACAACAATACAATCAAACCAAAGAATATTTAAAATAGCAAGTGAAATGAAGAGAAACCAAAATTCCATAGCATCATTATTTATCCATAACTTTTTTTTTTTCGTTTAACGTCATATTATTATTATTTATCAGTGAAAAAACTGTTGTTGAAATGGTATTGTTAAAGGAGTAATGGAAAGAAGTGTGACAGATAAGTGGACAACACGTGATGAAAAAGGTGATATTATGGATGAATGGTCAATGAAAAGTTGGAAAGGTGAAAATGATGGATTAAGACGTCGTGATAATGGTACTGGTGAAACATGGCATCGTAAAGTAGAGATATCAGCAGATGGAAAAGCATCATTTGTTGATAACAGGCGCTTTTATACACGTGATTATGTTGTTGAGGTATATAGTTAGCGCATTAGTCAATAGCAAACTGATAATATTAGATGATCACAATTGAAATATTATTTTTTGAATGCAATTATTAGATTCATTTTTTCCGTTTAAAGAAAAAAATATATATATATATATAATTATTTTGATAATTTGAGTTCATTTAACCAGTTAAAGAAACGTGAAACTAGAAGAAATTAATCAAAGATTGAATTCTTTGAATTATTTCAGTTAATAACAAAAAAAAATTATGAAAAATTTTGTGAAATTTAATTTCATTGTTTTTTCAGAGTGAAACTCGCAATGCATAAGTGTTGGCCACAATGTTCACCTCGAAATCTTCGTTTGAATTTGAAAAAAAAAAAAAATTGTGTTTTTTTATTTTTTACTTAGATGAACTACTGAAGAATTGTGAAACAAAAATCGAAAAAACTAAAATTATGACAGAAATAAAACAGAAAGAAAAACCTATAGAAAATGATAATTACATCATTGCTTCATTGGAATTCATTTGAAATTATATTTATGAATGAAAAAAAATCCCAAATTTTCCTTTAAATTTTAAATCATTAATGAAGAGAAATACAATTCCTCATCTCAATAACATGTCTTCTTTGTTTTCAGTTCTTGTTGTTTATATTTACTGAATAATAATGTGCCATTATTATTCTTTACATCATTTTAATTTTGTGTGCAAAATTTCGTGCCATTATTCTTTTTTTTAACCTACTTTTTTTTGCATAAAATAAACGTCAAATTTTAAGTTACACTGGGTTGTTTTTTCTTTTTTTTTTTTATTTCGCAAAAGAGATACTATATTATTCGTATGTAATATTACACATATTGTTTATATTATGCTGAATGAAAAGAAAATAAAATAGAAAAAAAATTTATCTAATAAAAATATAATTTTTCTTTTACATTTCGAATTAAAAAAAAAAAAAAAAAAGGAGGAAACTCTCAAAAAGATTTGAAAAATATTTCAACAATTCCAATTTTGCGTTAAAAAGCGTTTCATAAAATTAGAAATTCGCACATTTTACAAGGATTGACTGTATGTTTCAATTTATGTTATAATTTCTGTGATTGACACTTCAGTATGACAGAATGCGACAGTATATACTACGTCAAGTATGTATTAAACTATCAACATTATCACGTAGATCACGGGAGAATCACGTACGATTGTTTAATGTGCAATTGTTGCACATCGAAATGAAGCACTAGATCTTGGTTGGACTCTTCAAGTACTTTTTTCCAAGTATTCTCATTTCAGTTTGCTGTTTAAAAGATACAATTCTTATCTAACCTTTTGCATAACACATTTCATGCATTCCCCAAAAAATTCTGAACTCAGCGTTGTAATATCCATCTTTCATTTATATATAAAAGGTCACTAAAATAGGTTGTTGAATTAATAGGAGATGTAAAGTAAACTGTTATTTGCCTTGGAAGCCAAAAAAAGAAAGATAATGGTTATCATGGAAACGTTTAAGCGCGTAAACTGAACATTACAAAAAACATTTATTTAAAACACTTTATTTACAGATAAAACATTTCATTGAAAACACTTTATTTACAGATAAAACATTTCATTTAAAACACTTTATTTACAGAAAAACCTTTCATCCTTATTTCCGTAAATGTTTTTTAAAGAAAGGGAAATAATAAAAATGAGGGATGAGGTAGAACTCAGAATCCAAGCGATGGATGACAGAGAATGAAATTAACTTCGCAAACAAGGATGCAACAAAGTTCATAAAGAACAGCTTAAATAAATTAAAAGATAACCCTTATTAAAGAAAGTTACGGAGAAGTCGTAAAGTGGCGAGAAAACGAAATGGAGAATATTTTGATGAATCAAGAATAAAATCTAATCATTTATGATTTAAACAGTTAACATGTACGCCCACAAACAAGAAACATCTACATTCGAGACTGGGAACAATCCCTTTTTATTGTGTAAAATATCCTGAAAAGGATACTTAGTGAATCCATTTGAAATAATTTTTTAATAATGAAAATATTTGCAAAAGAAAGTTCTAAAGACTTTATCCCTAATGATATCCCCGACGTCGAAAACTCAAATAACTATTACACCCTCACGATAAGTCTCCCAGATTCTCAACTTACATAATTCTTTATTCTTACAACTGAGTAGTAAAGTATTTTAATAACCCTTATATAAATGAAGTTTGTACGTGCCAAAGAAGATAGAAACGGTGGTGATATCTGCGCCGCATGGAGTTGTTATGGAGATGAAAAATGTAATTCTGTTTGAAAAATCTGAGGTTTCTTTTTGATACCGATTTGTGACCCGTCATACCGCTGTATTGATAGATGAAATTCCAGCATGAAACACAATAGTAGAGGAAACAAGGAAGATAAGGGCACAAGTAAACACCGGCAGCTTCGTAACAAATCTCACACAACATTCGATCGAGCATGTATGGTCTCAGTTCCAACTAAAAGTTGCATTTGTTGAAAAATTTGAGTATACTGTTGAATGTTTTTGTATTGCTAAATATTTCAACGTGAAGCGAAAATGGATGTGATTATATTTTTGAAAGCTTGAAGGTGGAACATATCTTTGAAAACTTTATCATTGACAATTTTAGCAGTGAATAAATAGAATGGAATAAAATAAGCCTTTCAGGAAACCTCGTGCATAATGAAGGTATACTAGAAAGCGTTGAATAGTCAGATAAAGTTGCTTAGAATGAAAACTTTCTTCATTACTTCCAAAACTGATTTCAGCTAATGCCTAATATATGTCGATAAAAAAAGTATAAAACCTGTGCAAATTTGAAGATTTTTCCTTTCAAGAAAAACTTACTATGACTTTTCGACCATCAGTTGTGGTTAATGTAAAATAAAGCAAGAGCTAAAAGGTACGCTTCACGACTCGCGAAGACCAATCGTCCCAATCCTTTTGGATAATTTGTACTATATTCCACTTCCAAAGTCAATTCAACCACACTGTTTATGATGTTATCGAACAGACGTGCCAATTCCGCTATAAGTTCAATTAAATCAGATAATATCTATGCAACGTATAATTGATACTATACAGTTGCTTACAAAACTATACTTTTTGACGTTTACGAATGCTTCCAGTTTTCAATATGGTATTTCCTAAGTAAAAAGAAAAAAAAGCTACTAACTCGTAGTCACAGTACGCGGTATATCAGCAACGAAGACAGAGTATCGATAAGCAAGTGGTACACAAACAAGCAGAGTACAACTCGAACCACTCAAATACCAGAGTCTCACCTGCACCTATTATTATCATACATTATTAAAGAAAGAAACTGTCAATATCTTCAACCTATCTCTTGATTAATTATGAGCAACTTACTTTAGCTTCATCTAGAAAAGTTAAAAATTTGAAATTGTTTAGCTGTGCAACCTAAACTTCAAGAGTAACACTCCTAAAATAGCGAACACTTGATCTATCAATTTTTTGGCAAAATAATTTATACCTCCCCAACAATATTGTTCCATTAAACGAAAGTGCAAAATTATACATTTTCCATTTTAATCTCAACAAATCAAAGACACAATAAAATTTATGATAATTCCTTTTGTACAATAAAACCATTATCACGCTACCACGAGAATTTAGGGAAATCTTCAAATAAGCCATACTTTTGCAATATTACTATTAATGCAGCGTGGAACAATTTTACATAATAATTCGCAAGTATATATATATATATCTGGTAAAATTGACATGTCTTTTTTTTTTTTGGGTAAGACAGCAAATCAACTGAAGAATATCCACAGGTAAAAAAGATGTTAAGTAATGTGCTTTTCAGCTCATTATCCAGATGGTAATTTTGATAGCAATTTTGAAAAGGAAAAAATTAAAAAACGAATATTATGCATATTATGAAGTTAAGCAAGGACAGCTGAAAAATAATTACAATAGATCTTATTAGCTACAGATATTTGAAAGCTCAGAACAGGTTACGAATAGCTATAGAAACAATGGAAACAGGACTTCCCATCCGCCAAATAGTACTACCACTACTTCTTCAATCTTGAGTTTTCAGTATCTACAAAAACAGTGAATATTTCCACATATCAAAAGCTTTGTCATTACTTGTTTTAAACTGCGTGAATGGACAGCACAGTCTTTCTTTAATTTCCGGAGTTGTGATATGATCCATTCTTGATTCGACTATTCCTGACCATCATCGTCTAACGATATACTGTTGTTTCTTATGTTTGCATTAACAAGCCAAATAAAAAGAATAAAGTTTGAGAAAAGCCATATTCCAGTTCGTTTATCAGGAGATGTGTTATTGCAGAAACACCATGGTCCTCAGCACCGATAAAAATTGAAGACAAATCTTCGCTTGTTTGATCATGCTATCATGAATTCTTATTCTAATCTCCTTGCTGTTGCAGTTGAAATCATATAACAGTTTGGTAAAATACTAATTTAAAGACTAAAAATGCCAAGAGATACATGATAAATCATCCTATCATATTTCATTAATTTCATAACACTTGCAAACTGCAAGTAATGGGTATAAAATCCTGCTCATTATCACTTTTCCTTGGAATTTAGGCGACATCGAACAGTGTTGATATACACAGCAAGGCACATTATTGTGTCATTTCTTTTAGCAACAAACTATAATGATAAGAAAAAGTGATCTAAAGCAGCTGCTTGAAGCATATATTCAATTGGATTACTGTCGATAAAAGATCGAGATACAGTAGGGTACAAAGCGCATCAAACTTTTAGCTGCCAAATTAGCAAAAATGTTCTATATACTAAACTAACCGTTTTGACCAGTACGTCACCGTCCTTCATATCGATAAACAATTTTCCTTGCTTTATATCACTCGCATAAATAAGTCGACGAACTGCATGCTCATTTTTGAATATGACAAACACATATCCTGCAATATTTGTTCCGAAATTTGTCCACCAGTTTCTTCTGTTTATGCCTTTTATACATCATTTTTTTTAACGGCAGAAGAAAACTCTTATAAATATTCAACAGAACTGATTTAGATAATCTTATCTATACAACAGCTTTATCATATATTACAAAAACGATATAACGAATAAACCGTTTCGTGGAGCCGCGACGTTACAGCAATTACGATGTGGCCAATCAACGAAGTTAGGGCCATACCGCTTGAAAAAGTTACCGATTACATCTGGAACTTCAGTGAATATTCATTAAAATTGGAGTGTATTAAACAAACAAAAGAATTTGGCTGTTTTATAAAACAATAAAAAGACAAAATCAGCAGAACCCTTTGCCTGGATCAACATCGTAAGGAGACCACCGATGAACACTTTTGTAGAATAGACGGGGAAATTACCAGGCCGTATTTGCGTCAGCTGATAGTTGAAGTCATCATCGTCAGATACAGATGTTTCTAAATTAGTAAAGGCTCATGAAGTATTAAAGATGGAAGCAAAAATATTTTAAATTGTCACAGCCATATGAAGAATCAAAATTTACATTAACATCTGCTGCCTATGTTATTTAGTTTTACTTTCGTATTACTTTACCTTTGTTTAAATTTTAAGTAAGAGTGGTGATATGCTTAAATATGGCTGTTCTCTATCAAGGCAATTATTCAGGAATGAGAATCGAAATGTGCTTGAAAGCAATTTAAGAAGGTTTTGATGATCTTGCAATAAATTCTCACTTTTAAGCTGAAGTTCTTCTAAAGAAAAATTTTGCGATATTGTTCTGGAGATTCACACATGAAATTTATTTTTTGAAAATAAAAGGGATAAATTTCATTTGCTGATTATCGGAATTAATCAAGCGGTAATATACCACTCATTTCGGTGCCTAGGTATAATCCAAGTAGTGATCCTTCAGCTACAAAATTTTTATTATCATCATATATCCATAATGTTATCCAAATTAGATATATGAAAGCTTTATCAATCTTTAACTTGCATCTTATTGAAAACATATACTTCTCTTTTTCTGATTTGAAGTTTAGTTATCACTTCCAAACAACCAACCAATTAATTAAAAAAAGTACCCAGTTCAGATGTTTTGTCTTTTTTATTCATTATAAAAGTTATTGTGTAGAGGAGCGTTTGGCATAGATGAAGAGATAAGTAAATGTATATACATAAAATAAAAATTAAGTGCTACTGTTGAGAACTAAGAAACACTGAAAAAAAAAAACGCTCAAATAACATCATATGTTACTTAATAAATTCCAATCTAATACGAATGCAACATAACGCAGTGAATCCCAGATAATATAAACTCACCAAATGTACTAATTCATCAATCAGTCAACTAAATCAGTTAACCAAACGATCAATCTACTACTAACTAATCATTCACTAACCAATTAAGCGATCAACCAACCACTCACCAACGATCAACCAAAGCGAACAACCAATCAACCGAAGGGAACAACCGAATCAACCAATCAACCAATTATTTAGCAACCGTTCAATTACAAATTAACGAATGACTATTACATTCTCTCCCAAATGTTCCTCAAACAACAGGGAAAAGATACCAGAAATCCCAGAGCAGCAGGACTACTCGTAATTTGCACGTAGTATTGATTATAGAACGTGGCAAGTTATACAAATACGTGCAACTTTTGAAAAGATATTCCCTTCCATTGAATATAGTACATATTGATTGGATGATAGCTTCTTCCTCTCTCATCTGTTAGACGTAGGCTACGTTTCCTCGCCGGCATATATGAGCTATTCATGTCCTATTTGAAGATTCAAAACTGGCACTTTCCTGGTTCGATTTGATTTAAAAAATTGGAATCATCTGGTTTGACTCAAAAAAGCTTTTAGCTAATATACTTCACTTAATCTTATTCATTTTTTCATCAACTTTAAACTATGTACAATAGCTTTGATTGGAGCGAAGACTTTCATTTCTTCTCATTTTCGTTTTGTTGTAAATGTATAAAAAAAAAAAAGATCCATTTCACCGCCGGTAGAATTTTATTTAACACCATCATGATCAAAGCTACCGTGTGGCACAGAAACAATACAGTAAAATACCGGAAAAATTCTTTTCATTAACCACAAAGATTAAACATTTATAACTAATATATCGATTTAAAAAATGAAACCGTTATTTCACAAGTGCATAAGAGTTAAATGGAATGGGCAAGAAAAGAAAAGATCCGATAAGATCATTCTGCTCGTTTTGCTTTTTTTTAGGAATTTGTCCAGAGTGGATAATCCAGAAAATCCTCGCTCAGGTCAACTTACAAGAATTAAAAATAAATTTTACAAGGATTAAAAATAAATTTTACAGAGAACAAGAAAAGCTGAGAAATGAGGGAGAGGAATAGATAGATCGTTTGAGTTAAATTATTGTGAATTTTTAACAAGAAAATCATAAAAACATTCTTTCATTTCATACAGGATCAGCAACAACACCGTACATTATATTTAACACTACGATTTTAATATTGTTGAGAAGTATTTGTAAATTTCTTGAAGAAATTTTTTTGAAATCAATTTGCTTTTCCCGTCAAACCATTGTGAAATGTGTGAGACTCCGAACCACCATGTCCATAACCTTTCGGTCCAAAAAGTGCTCCGTAACAGTGGTTGCAATATGGCTTCCCTTGACGCTAAAAAAAAGCAACAAAGATTTTATAATCATATAATGTCAAAGTTATTTTATTAAAGAAACAAGTATAACAACCTTTCAACTATCTAACAATGATCTCTGTTTGACTACGTTTTTTGAATGAATGAATGGAATAAATAGACAATTTTTTAAAATTTCTCAAATACAGTTCGAACCAATTTTAAAAATCCGCCTTTATGGGGTAATTTTCCCTCTTATTCCATCTGCATCGCTATTTTTCATCCTAATACTATATTATTTACAACCTATTTTGGGCATTCATTTCAACTCTTTCCTAACCATATTTCCTAAATTTCTGATACTGTCTTCTTCCTCACCTTTATACTTCAGCTGTTCATCACTGTAACGAACACCTAACACTAATGTTTTCCCTTCCCATCAACAGTTCAATCAATAGAAATGTAATTCAAACCCATCACTTCCTATTTCTGTTAAAATAAACTCTGCGATTCTTCCTAATTAATAACTTTCAAGTACCAATCAAAACCGTTAAAATCTTCAAGGCATCAAGTAATAGCAAAGTAATAAAAATTAAAAAAATAAAATTAAACAGATTTACTGAGGTTAATAACTATACGATCAAAAATGAAAATGCGTTTGAAATTAATCTACATTTCAGGGTATCACAAGAACATTTGCCGTAAGATGTCGGAAGAGATTTTTTTGTACCACAATAATGGACAGGGCCATTTATCAGAAGAACCACCTCAATTAATGATAATTGGAATCGCATTAAGTCGAATCAAATCATGCTTAAATTTAATTCTTATGTGACAATTAAGATCTTTTCCTTAGCCAAAAAAGAATATTTAGAGTCGAATCACAATAAGAATTAACGAACTAATAAAAGGAGTGTAACAAAAGTGTGAAATAAAGCATCTCAGTTATAGAATTTCAAAAATGAGCAGTTACGGAGCTAATTATAGTGTTCTTAACAAAAGTAAATATAGAGATGTGACGAACAAAATAAGGCAAACATAAATAAAACATGTTCAAAGCCTTTCTGAATTTTCATGCAATGTAGGCATATCTAACAAATTTTCAGAAAACAAAAACATCAGAAAATGAAACTTGAAAGAGAAAAAGGAACAGCGGAAAGTTCTGAAAAAAGAAGAATTTGAAAAGAATTATTTATACTGATATACCTCGGAATGATTACCAGCTGTTAGAGTCTTTCGGCAATTCTCATTTTCACAGCGCAAACACGGGCGATGCCAATCTTTTCCAATCGACGAGACACGCTCAGCTAAAACGAGTCAACTTTTTTTTTTACGTCAAATATGTTGAAACATAAAATTGAATAACCAGATTTAATCCTGAATTAAATACTGTTGTTCTCTAATATGACTTAAAATTATAAACAATTCTAGCCGTACTATTATTGCAAATTTGAATATCAATATGATTTTTCTGATGAAAAGATTTGCTCAGAATAAATTAACTATAATAGAAAATCAAAAAAAAAAAAATCGATAGAAGGAAAATGCTCATCGTTCACGTAATAAATTTCTGTCATAAAAAAAAAAGTAAAACACAGAAAAGCCATCAAATTAAAAAGATTGTATAATTTGATAAACAATATTATAATAAATAAATCTAATCAAGTCAACATTAAACAAATTAATAAACATAAAAGACAAGCATAATCTTACCGAAGTATACAGGTTTATTGCAGCCTGGACAATTCGGCATTTCCAGACGTTTTAATCCAAAATACTCTTATAGACTCTCTGAAAATTCACGCTAATTATATCAATTTTAATAAATCAATCAAACCTAACAAAACAAAGAAATATGTGCAATCATTAAATATAACCGAAGAAGAAGTGATCGGATACTAGGATACGAACATCATTAAAATGACTGTGTTGAAAAAGGCAACTGACAAAAGAAGGAGAAAGAGAGGGAGAGGGACAGGGAGAGGAAGAGGAAGAGGAAATTGGATATGAGAAGAATAAAAAAAAAAAAAAGTATGTGTGGGAAAGTCAAGAGAAAAAAAAAGCGGAAGGCAATTCAATCAATGAAAAATCAGAAGTACGGAGGATTCATTTATGAATTCGAATTTTTTGTTACAGGAAGAAAACAAATAAAAGAAAATTTTTCAATCATCTTTTTTTCATAAAAAAATAATCTTCCATTCTCTGAAAGAATGTATATACATATATTTCGAAGAATTATTATTAAACAGAAAACAATGAGAAAAGTGCCTTTTTCTTTTGCAAAATAAGCATAAAATTATTCATTGATAAGATAAAATGAAGAGAGATAATGAAAGGAACGATATGAATTTAGTGGGAATTTGATGAGTAAAAATAAAATGAAATTGAAGTGAAAGGCAACGACAAACATCGGATGGTATAGCAATTGGGAAATGGAAATGATAAACGAAAAAGGAAAGGGAAGAGGAACGGAAGAAGGAAGGGAAGAAGGAAGAGAAGGGAGAAAGGGAGGGAAAAGTGGAATAAGGGAAAGTAATAACAGCGGTAGCTTTCCATGGAAGCATCTGATTTCTCATATAAAATAGGATAAAAAAATAGGGAAGAATAAAGTACAGTGGAAAGGAACAGAAGAAGGAAAGAAAAAATAGGATAGAACAGGAAACAATGAAATTAAAATGGAAGAAGAAAAGAAAACCGGTCAAGCACAGATCACTGTGATGAAATTTAATCTAAAAAACAGGGAACTTCAATTCTTCTCTTCCTGATTGTAAAGAATAGCACAGATGATGACAAAATATAGAAAGATGGATTGACTGGCAAGGAGACAGTGGCGTTGGCGTCAAGTGACTCACTGATCACTAATGACAGGTATGACATCCTGTCAACCCACAAATCCATGAATGCTTGTGCACGAATGCACGCCATTATGTTATGTTATGAGGTTATCACGCAATATACGATTTAAACGTGTCAGAAACCAAACAAATATTACGACGTACGGCAAAACGTGTGCAACAGGACGACTTGGATGCAGCGGAAATTCCCGAGGATTCCTGTTAGCTAATAGTTGAGATATTCAACAGCTAACACAGTACTTTCAATTATTCAAGTATTTCTAAGAATGCTTGAACACATACTAATAGACGTACATTACATTTGAAGTGATAAATGGCTCACAATAAGTAATAAATGAATCAATAATTGAGTATCTCTCATTTACAGAAGCAAATTAGATAATCCAACTTGTACGGATTGATTACGTGTCGCAATTGACAGATGGACAAGTGCGCTCTATGGATGGTGTATATCAGTTGATAACCAAATAAAATAATAGAAATCTCTTCCTTCTCTTTTTTAATTTGATGTAAGTTTCAGTAAATGGTTTATCAGGGAGAATTAAAAATGACTGCCAAATAAGTGACAAAATATTAATCAATAACTGTGACAAACATTAGTTGGATGACAAAGAAGAATAGTGACAGTGTTGAATTAAATAACTGTAAAGAGCAGTTAATATACAATACCGGCAACATTCCGGAAAACGGAAAGAGTGAAGATGCAGAAGTATGCGAATTCTCGTAAATGTAATATAATAGTGCAGCAAAAATACACTTTCCCATAACTTTACCCTTTACGGGAACAACCACCGTATCCTTTACCCACCGTATTCCGATGAATCAATCGACGCGCCAGATTTCACGTTTCAAAATTCTGAACAGAACGCAGCCATATCGAAGGGATAATTCAGGAGAGAGAAAATGAGGAAGGAAAATAACCTTAGGAAGGAATGAAAACAAAAAGAGTTCGATGAGATAAGTGAAACTGTCAGAAATCCAAAGTATATGAATAATCAATAACTTAGCTAAAATAACAAACCCAGTGGGAGTCAAAGGTCAAGTGAAATGTTCAAAATTTCCGAATTAGTGCAAAGAAGCAATAATCATTAATGATAAGGAAGTTAGCCATAAGAAAGTCTTCCATCTTCTGGCACTTACACAAAAAATATGCAATCAATTATGATCATTTCACTGATAATAACCTTTAACTAATCAGTAGATCAACTACTTTGGCGATTGAAAATTTGTTAAGAATAATTAGAATACTGAAGTAAAAATTTTCGGAAATTTACAATTTAGTAATTACAAAAAAATAAATGGCGAAATTTAATTTTTGTTTATTTTTTATTCTCATCTCATCTCAATTTTATTCCTCTCAAATAATTGTCAATAAAAATCAGAATAAGAAAGAAAAAAAAAACAATAATATTTTCCCAACGAATTAAACTTAAATCAGTGAAATAATTATAAGAGCACAGTGGAAAAATGTGAAAATAATTAGACTAAAACTCATTTATAATTCATTTCATTTTTGAAAAAATGAACAAAATAATTATGAATGGAAATTTTATATTCGGTTTGTGTGTCGCATGCATATAACAAATGTGTCACAAATGAAAAAATGAGCGCTTCTGGTCAAAAAAAAAAGAATGTAAATCGATACCATTATCTGATAAGGAGGAGAAAGGAAGAAAAAGAAGCAAAGCACAATGCCTTCCTCAATTTCCTCCTTTTTTTTTGAAAATTCAATAAACTTTCAATGTTGTTCAAGGAAATGAGGACAAGATGACAACGATAACAATAATAATAATAATAATAATAACAATAGCAATAGCACCAACAATAACAGTAAAAATAACAATAACAAACAACAATAAAATATGAATTTTTATTTTCATATACAAAGTTTTTTTTTTCTGACAGTCATATTGGTTTTATTGAATTTTTACTGAATTTTAGAATTGAGATTAACTGAAATTCAGTTTTATTGAGAGGTATTATTGAATTTTAGGATTAAAATTAATTGAAATTCATTTGAAACGACGGATATCGAAGTTTTTCGTGGATATTCATTAGATTACAATGGAGATTTCTCATAAAAAAATAAGCATTGAGATAATATTATCCTATAACAGAGAGTAAACAAAGTCAGTGCGACATTAAAGTTACGAAAAGTTTGAGGGAAAGGAAGAGAAGAAATACTGAATTGGTGTACAATTAATGGATTACAGGGCTGTAAAAAGCCAATTACATATAATGAAAGTTTGTATGGACTAAAAAAAGTGGAAAGTTATATCCGTATTTCCGGATATGACATTTCAGTCATTCTAAAATTCATTTCCTATCTTTACTCAATGGTAATTTCGATCAATTTTGACCGAATTCTAAATTGCTAAATCATTAATTGAGACCATTCAGGTTAAAGCCGGAAAAGATTGCTATTTGGTGCTGAGATCGAGAAATGTCAAAAGTGAAGGATTTCAGCGGAAACAATTTGAAAGTTATAAGAAAATTTGAAAACTTCTTAAATTTCTATTTGCCATCCTTTTTAAGCTTTGTGCGCTAACAGAAAGACAGGCGGCTTTGTTCCAATTTCATTTCGTTTTACTGAGCGATCAGAAAGAAAGGAATGAATTGAAATTGATTCATTTTTATATTTACTAATCAATTAGGTAACAAACTAAGCAATGTCATTTTTTATTTGAGAGAAATAAATTTGTATGCATAAAATAGATTAAGAAGAGAGAGAGAGAGAGAGGGAGAGAGGAAGAGAAAAAAAGAAGACATGTAATTAGTAAAGGGGAAAGTTTAGGAAAAGAGAAAGGGAAATAAGGAAATTAAAAAAGGAAAAATGAAAGAATGAAAGAGGAAACATCTGGAAATATTGTGCCAGGAGGAACCTTTGAGGTGAAAAAAATTTGAAGTTTTCGTTTCCAATTATTCCAAATCGGGCTTATTTTTTTCTTTTTTGAATAGATACCCGAAAAAGTAAGCTACTTGCACATAATTCAGGCATATGTAATGTCAAACTTATTTATTTAAATCTGACATATATTTGAAAAATAACGCAGAAGGAGAAAGGATAAGGATGGAAGTGGAATCAATTCATTTATATTAGTAAGAAGTTAAATCGGTGGGAAGAAAGTAATATAAACCAAAGTAACGATTGGGATTAATTTCATTTGGAGATACCCGGATAAAGGGCAAAATTAAGCTGAACATACCTGAATGAAATAAGTCGAGAAAAAGTGTGATTGTAAGAGATTTGATAAGGGATAAGACAAGTTCAAAATGATATAAGCAAGCATAGCGAGCACGGAAGGAAATAGGTTAACCCGTGAGAGTTTAAGACGTACGTACGTGAACGCGACAAGGTTAGGATCTAATGAATAGAAATGTTGGCCAGGTAAAGTATATGCTATCTATGAGAGCAGCAGTCACTCTTCATAAAGTATTCGATTTTTGACAGTTTGGAAATTCCATAGCAGAATTTCTCTATGAATAAACAAATTAATAAATTGTTCAAATGAAACTGTCGAAAACTTGTACGCACTATTTATCATTATCATTGTTATCAGTATCACTGTCATTATTATTACCATTACTAACACTATTATCGTCACTTTGCCATTATTATCGTTGTCATCATTATTAGTGCCATTCCTTTATTTTATTATTACTGCAATAATATTAGTATTATTGTTAAATATTATTTATGATCATTATTATCAATATTATCATGAAATGGACGTATTTTTAATCAAATTGATAAGGTAATAATTGATAAGATGTATGCAATTGATGTGCAAGTTATACTGTTGATTACAAAGGAGGTCAACGATCAATTTAAATTAATTTACCAGCAGAAAAGTTGACAAATGAAAGTGATTGCGCGGAAAATAAATTTTAATTTGTC